TTTCTGCATTCTGTTGTTTCAAGAAGCCTTTTTGCTACAGCAAAGCCGTTTTCTTTTTTACTTTTTTCTTTCTTTTTCTCGTCTCGGTGAGTTTTCACTTCAAGTTTCCATTGGCCCGACGACTTACGGCGTTGACAAAGTACCTTAATTTTTACGCCAGATCGCTTTTTACAAAGTTTCTTTCCACTCTGCATAACCGATACCGCGAATTTTATACGTGGAACGTGTATTTTATGACACGTCTGCTTGATTTATTTTTGGGTTATTTTTTTTTGGTTGTTTTTTTGATGGGAAAGTTTTGCAATAAAAAAACCTTCATATTTCTTTCCCTTCGGGGAGGGTAATAAAATTTTCAATTAAAAGTTCAACAGGGTCCGAGTGAAAGAAATGATCTCTGGAGTACAATGGAAAACGCTGGGCAAAGGGGAAAAAAGCGGGCGTTAATAAACCTTTGCGAAATTACTGCAGTGAAAATCTACTTCTTCATTTTATGTTTTTATTTTGCAGAGTGTATTAATTACTTAATTCAATTCGAATTTCATGAATTTCATCATGCAAGTGAACAGTCAACGCCTGTGAACTAAAATTAACTCCCATCTATTTTCCATTACCCAAAAGACGACGAGTTAACTCCCGGATTAAGAGCACTAAACCTGTCTAGTTAAATTAATAATAAAGTCAGTCGACGTCTCGTTCCAAAACGAGAACTTACATCCAAGTTTATCCGTCACCAGAAGGTAATATAACACCAAGGTAATATCAGCGAACGGTTTTTCTCCGAATTTTCGGCATTCTTCCATCACCATAACCTCCTCCTATAAATTCTCGCCGGTTAGCCGGGTAAACGCCCGTGTAACTGATGACCTTCAGGTTGGGTTAACCCGCCCCAATACTGATGGACCGGCTATAAAGCAGATCGTAATCGCCAATCCGTCCCCCCATTTTGCCCTGTTATTTTTTTTTTTTCGGCGGTGGAGGCGGAAAAACGAGCCGAATCACGCTTACGCAGCAAACTGGCATTTTTCTCTTCCCACTGGAAAACTGTTACCAATAAATTTTCTTTCTCCCCCGATCGTTCCGATATTAATCACCGAGATGGTGCAACCGAAATTGGATTTCAAGATACTATTGGCTCACTCTCAAATCGAAATGATCAAAGTGAAATATCGACGGTCCTATGTATTATATGTATTCGATACGATGAAAAGGCAATGGATGAGTGGTGAATGATGGATAGTCGTCATGCATCAGAATAAATGACGGTTTAAAGATTACAGATTTAATGTATTACACTAGTACAAATAGGTATCACCATAAAGGCAGAACTTTAAAGAATCGTATCTCCATTACTAATTAAGATATCATTATGAAACAAAAATCATTTTAACGCAAATTTAATTCATTAAAATTATTTCCCCATACTTATTAATTTTGCCATTATAATTCTTTGAATTTAACTCTGCATATACCGGGTGTCCAATTAGTGCGATATCGGACGATATCTCCTTACAGGGTGTCGCTAGAAGAAAATGTTTATATATAAAGTTGTTTGGTGCTCGAAGGTGCATAACCTAAAAATATTTTTGTTTATACAGGGTGTTGCAAAAACAAAGTACAAGGTACAACATCGTAAATTTAAATGGAACACCCCATATTTTATTGCATTTTTGAATTACCCTTAAAATTCGACATACTTTTTGTTAAGCATTACCTATTAATAATGTAGGTAATAATAATAAGGTGGTAATTCAAAAATGTAATAAAATATGGGGTGTTCCATTTAAATTTACGAAGTTGTACCTTGTACTTTATTTTCGCAACACCCTGTATAAACAAAAATATTTTTAGGTTATGCACCTTCGAGCACCAAACAACTTTATATATAAACATTTTCTTCTAGCGACATCCTGTAAGGAGATATCGTCCGATATCGCACTAATTGGACACCTGTATAACTATGACGTTTGGTTTAAAAAGGAGATTAAAAAATCGTATTTTGATAAATAACTGAGATATCGCCAAGAAATATAAAACATTTTAAATATGATTTAATCAAAATTCAACCAGGCAAAAGTAATTCTTTCATTCTGATGAATATCGTTGTTACGATTATTTAATTTAAACTCTGCTGTTATTGAGTTTAGGTTGATGCAAACGGAACTTTAAAACATCGTATCTCAATAACTAATTGAGATATCATTATGAAACAAAAATCATTTTAACGCAAATTTAATTAGTTTTAACTGTATCGAGAATTATTTCCCCACACTTATTAATTTTGCCATTATGATTTTTTGAATGCAACTCTGCATATGTAACTATGGCGTTGGGTTTAAAAGGAGAATTAAAAAGTCGTATTTCGATAAATAACTGAGATATCGCCATGAAATATAAAACATTTTAAATATGATTTAATCAAAATTCAACACGGCAAAAGTAATTCTTTCATTCTGATGAATATCGTTGCTGCGATTATTTAATTTCAACTCTGCTGTTATTGAGTTAGGTTGATGAAAACCGAACTTTAAAACATCGTATCTCAATCACTCATTGAGATATCATTACGAAACAAAAATCATTTTAAAGCAAATTTAATTAGTTTTAAGTGTATCGAGAATTATTTCCCCACACTTATTAATTTTGCAATTATGATTTTTTGAATTTAACTCTGCATATATAACCATGGCATTCGGTTTAAAAAGGAGATTAAAAAATCGTATTTTGATAAATAAATGAGATATCGCCATGAAATATAAAACATTTTAAATATGACTTAATCAAAATTCAACACGGCAAAAGTAATTCTTTCATTCTGATGAATATCGTTGTTACGATTATTTAATTTCAACTCTGCTGATATTGAGCTTAGGTTGATGAAAATCGAACTTTAAAACATCGTATCTCAATAACTATTTGAGATGTCATTATGAAACAAAAATCATTTCAACGCAAATTTAATTAGTTTTAAGTGCATTGACAATTAGATGTCCACTCGTATTAATTTAGTTATTATAATTTTTTGAACGCAACTCCGTATACAGCTAGGTTTGGGTCTGGTAGCTGTAACCAGTTAGGTTTGAGTAGGAGGTATGATATGGTTGACAGAACTGTTTTATAAGGACAATTTCGTGATATATTATTTGACCTTATGGACAGTGACCACCAAGAAACAGATAAGGTTGTTGTGAACAACGGATAAGTTTCTAACTATAGAAATTATGTAAAGTGTCATTCCAACAACAAGAGATAAATTAAGAGCAGAAAAGTCAAAAAAGAAGCAGTGGTGGCATCCATAATACTCGAACTGAATGTTGGACAAATTACGACACAAGGATGTTCTACAATTATTTCTGATCTACTGACAAGTTACGAAAGAAAAGAAATTCAACATCGTGTGTATTCAACAATTTTATTGCACAAGGATTATAAGAAAGGGTGAATACCCGGAAGTGCTATCTATGATGTTCAATGTGACCTTGAAAATAATCATTACTTTAAAGATGGACATTGAATAATCATGAAGCAATATATTTAACGACATAAATAACATTAGCTTTTCTGATTTGTGGCATCGTACCAGCCAGTTGTATTAACTATCGACGCAAATACGAGCATCCCAGCTCTCCCAGTTATTAAAGAAGAGCAACTACATCGTTAAATATTGATGTTAGATTGGTAAATAAAGCGGGAGAGGATAGCGTATTGAAAAGTAATCGAACAGAGTATACGAGTAACCTGATACAGTTTAAATTAAGACTGAGACGAGAAAATAAATATACGTGATGGATATATGGACACGGAGATCAAATATAACATACAAAAATCGGGTATCAGTTATTAAGCGAAACATAGATGGAATACGAATATGAAGAAAGAGAAACAAATAGCTCAGACACCAAGTATTAAACGCTAAGTTGACCAAATGGAATGGAACCTCATTTCAGGCTAGAAGAAATAGAAATTCTGCTGTTGGAATCGCCTTTTTGTTATGATAATTTCGTCAATGAGTTGCTAACACTGAGGAGACTGTGATTTTTTTTCTATTAGCCTATTGCAAAGCATCTTCTTCTCTGTTGCTTATTATGGAGTGGTATGGAGTATTCGTTGCTAAATGCAGAATTCTATTTACAACCGATTCATTTAAAAACGTGACTTTTCCGAATTTTTACTCCATATGCTAACTGCGGCGTTATTATGGCTTCTATTATCCCTATCTTTGTTGTTGCTGCAAGTGGAAACTGTCTTCTTATGAAAAAGTATAGCTTATTTTGCCAACGTAGCCGTGGTATTGTTTACAAACATATTGTATACATAACCAGGAAACTCTTATGTCTACTTATGCTGGACACCTTATCTTTCATTTTCACCTGGAAGTAAAGTTCTCTACCAAGTTGGCCTGGTTTTCTTCTGAGCAAGTTCTAACGTGCTAATATGTAAATTCTTTGTTCCATTCTGCTTCTACTTACAGTCCCTCCAGCAGACTTCATTTAGTAATCTTTGACAAAATAGTCAGGAGACTGATAGATCTCTTGTTTCCAGGCTGTGATGCATCTTTTCACGATTCTGGAAACTCCCCATGGCTCATAATTTGCTTTGTTTTGGACACCATTCTGTTTATACATAAAGGCAATAAAAATGGTGTTGCAGACTCCAAGTAAATATTTGCTATACATAAATTAATTTATGTGTTACTGTGATCGGTCCGACATTTCATCAGTTCTTCCTCCTGTCGTAGTCGTAGTCTGCCGACAGGAAACTACGACAACGCACTGAAGATGTCAGGTGAGATCTTAGCAAAAGGTCTACTCCTTTCCAAAGGGAACCAACAAGAAGAACGGATGAAATCTCGAACCGACCACAGCAACACATACTTCTCCTTCCGTGAAACACTACACATTAACAAATAAATTTATGTATAAACAAAAAAGATAAGGTCAAAAAACAACGAAATTGATGTTTAATTAATTTTTATTTTCCGTTTAATATAAGATGTTTAACTCTTAAGGGCAATCTTCCACGGGGATGCAAACGGAAGTGTTATTTTCTATTGTACGTACGTATCCATCTTTACAGAAACATCCTTCAACGCATTGAGTCGTACACGCAGTACCTTCTGGTTTTCCACAATAATCTTGACAGGCAGTTCCACACACTTTATATATTTCATTGGTACCACAAATAGGGCATTCAGATATAAGAATGCAATCGTCATTTTCCGCATCTATTGCTCTCTTTGTGTAACCAGTAGCTCCATTACAGAAACAATCTGCCACGCATTGCATGGTGCAAATTCCACCATCTGGTTTATTACAGTAGTGTGGACAAGCAGATCCGCAAGAGTTCCACAGTTGGTTTGGACCACATGTTTGTGCAATAACAGCGGCAGCTAAAAATTATTGATAATTAAACGATAAATTGAACTAGAGGTGTTGTTATATGAAAGGTTTTTTAAAAAAAGACCACTAATTTAGCTAGCAAATTTAATTTCTTTAAAATCATGATCTCTGAATACTGAAGTTATTTTATTCGTTAATGACGGTATGTATTTAATCTTACAAAACTTATTCAAATTTGTTATTTTATTAGTTTCGTCATTTATATTTCTATTATCTTGTTCACTATCATTCTTCTGATTATGTTTATCGAAATATTGTGTAATTAATGATTGGCCTTCTGTTTTATCTTTTGTTTTACTTCTTAAAAAATATTCTTTTTTATATTGTTCTGTAGGTCTCGATATGTGAGAAGTTGTATTGTTATCTTGATTATCATTATCAATAGAATTTTTAATTCTATACCAAGTGTTAGCGTTCATCCCAACCC